TTGGGAACATGTATTAAAATGGGGACTTGCACAAAATCCAACACTTCTTCCAGATCCTAAAACTTGGTCGGATGATGATTTTAAAACAATGGAAAATACATTACAACATTGTTTATCCTTAGTTAGATTTTTTAGTTTATCATCTAAAGAATTCTTACAAAAAGTTCGTCCTTACAAGAAGCTCTTGGAATACCAACTTTATGAAGATATACTAAATTCTTATTTAGACCCTGATAGTGAACCGACTGACAATATTTCACTCCCTAGAAATGTTAAATTTGATGGAATTATCGATTCAAAAATTGTTAATAATTTGAGTATTATTTCAATTATTTCTAGACGGATAGATAAAATGGTCATTAATAATAAATTTGATTATTTAAGAGAATTGTATTTGCCATACAAATTTCAATTATTGTTAAGAGGAAGCCGAGATGGATTTACTCCTGAAAAATTTCATCAATTATGTGATAATAAACATAATACTGTTACATTTATAAAAATTAAAGGAACAGAAGAAATTATTGGCGGTTATAATCCAATTATTTGGTCATCAATCAATTCTTGGGGCAAAACTAGAGATAGTTTTATTTTTTCTATTAAAAATAATAATATTGAAGATGCAATTATTAGTAATGTAAAAAATACAGATCGTGCAATATTACATCACCCTTCCTATGGTCCACGTTTTGGCGATGATATTATTATATATTCCTATAATAAACTTACAGATTACAATAATAATTACTGTAAAAAGGGTTATTATGAAAAAAGGATAAGAGATACTGAAGATAAATTTTCTATAGAAGATTATGAAGTGTTTCAAATCTTAGAGAGAAAGGTATAATACTTTACATTAGTTTTAATTTGAACAAAAAAAAATTAAAAAAAAATTCCTATTAAATATTTCAAATTTAATATTTTGATGGGACGTAACCATGTCCCAAATCCGACTTGGAATATCCCAAATCAAAATTGGGACAATCGTATGTCCGAAAATTTAACCATATCCCAAACCAAGCTAGTAAATTTTAAATGTTTAACATCTCAAACTACTATCTAAGACTGGATTAGTTTGGGACATGGTCAAGTTTCGGATATAAAATTTTCCCAAGTTTGATTTGGGACATGGTAGAGTTTGGGCTACAACAGAGATTTATTTTAAATAAATGCTTTAATTTCCCATTACAAGCATATAATATCCATTTAAAGGATCTTGTAATATACCATAACACGATCCCTCATATGAATTGTCAATATTTTGTCTTTAATAATATCATCGTTATGCAAGTATCCCTTGATTCCTAATTCTCCTTAACGTCAAAAATTCCAACAAGTTGGACTATTTTAATAAATAGTATGCAGTTTCATTATAAATTAGTAGCTGTAAAGAAATAGTATAGTAATTTTAAAATTAACTTTTTTACCAATAGCAATTTCAAATTGGAACTTCATTTTTATTCGGAATTTTGCGTGATGTAATTTACTGTTAATTTTGACTCATTTTTATATTCTTAATATTTTTAATTATATAAACACCTCCTTTTTTCAAAATTCCATATTATTTTCTAATTATCATATTAAACCCTTAGAGCTCATTCACCTTATTTTAAAAGTACATTATTAGCAAGATGGATTTATACTATCTAACTATTATTCTAAATTTATTTTCTCTTTTAACAATTACTCCCAATTACTCCCTGCCTAATAACTTCCTTATACTGTATATGAGGTCTTCCTCATATTAGGCAAGGAAAGACCAGTCAGATAGTCGAGTATCTCCTAACTGGCTGGTTTGTTTAAATTAGGATTCTCTTATATACTATATTGGCTACTTTATTTATGAGCTCATGTAATACAAATACCATCCAGATTTGAAGAAAATGAAGATTTAATGATTTTAAAAGAAAATTTTGGATTCATTTCATGGACATATAACAAAGCTCTATACTCAGACAGAGACAAATGATGAAAAAGACACTAAAAAAGATAGTAAAACTGGTGATAGACATTTTTAATAATAGAACATAGTAGTGAATAACAAAATTATTGAAGAATTCACTGTAGGTGGTGGATTGGACGAAGTTTATCTACTATTTCTTCACCATTAGCAATTGCTCCTTTACAACCAATACTGTAGAAAATTAAATGGAATGTTATGTAAATTGAAAGAAGAATATGGAAATGATTGAACAAAAAGGCATAGCAAAAAGAATAAGACAACATACAATAAATTGATGAAACAAACATAAGGAGATTCAGAACAGGAAATTTTACAACTATAGAGTTTATAAAGTTTAAAGTGAATCCAGAAAAATTTGAATTATGAACAAAAAGGAGAAATAATAATAAATCAAAGTAAACAAATATACAGTAGGAGCAAATTGATGATAAACAAATAGTCAAAATCATACAGTATAAGACAAATAGAATATCATACGAAAAACTGGGTGTATGGGATAAAGGACAACAAGGAAATGGGTATAACAACAAAAAATAGAATTGATCATAAATAAATATAAATTGAAAGACATACAGAATAGTTATAGTTATAATATTAATTTTTAGTTTATTATTTAATAGAAATTTTTTGACTTTTAAATATAACAATTTTTTATTTTTTTTTAATAATTTATGTAATTTTAATATTTACTAAAAGTAATAATAATAAAGTAAAACCCAATATTAAATTGTTTGAAACATGAACGTAATATCCAAATGATTATATTAGCATTATATTATATACTTCCAATACTTTGTGTTACTCAAAATTTTGCAAATAAGCTTATTTTGACATAAATCGAATTGAAAGTAATCAGCAGTATGGTCAAAATAATATGTACTGTATATTGGGAGAATTTTTTAAAGAAATGCATCAGTTTGCGATATAATAATAAAAATCTTAATCCACTAAAATGAGATTTTTTATAGTGACTAAAGGGAACAGGGTTTAGTTTTTAAGAATTAAACACTATATTTACATTCACTCTTCATTGAATTAATTCAATATTAAACGGAATTGATTTTGTTCATTGTAATACTTTTTAACACTATATACAGAACATACTATATAGTTTCTGGTGTCGGCGAAGGTCGCTCGCGATTATGACGTGGATCATAAAGGGAAAATCCAATACTTGTGGAGAATTTTTTTGATGGAATTCCGTATGAGTTAGAGAAAATAAAAATAGGATTACATTATAAGATGGAAATGATAAATATATTGTATATGGAGATAACAATAATCCATATTGCCTTCACAGACGATACAGACATAATAGGAAAGTTAGAACAGGAGATTTAACAACTTTATGGTATATATTAGTTTATTTAAATGTGCTGAGATAAAGGCGATCCAGAAAAATTTGAATTAAGAACAAACAAAAAAGGAGAATTATAAATAGACAATAAAAAATTAATAATTAGAAGAATTTAAGAGTATATATAAATGATGAAAAAGAAGATCAACTCACGAAATAAAAAATATAATGATTGCTGAAAAACAAAAAAAAATGTAAAAGACATTCACTGGATGTACAGGATAAATAGAAATAAAGAAATAACATTTTTTTTTACAATATATTTTATTTATGACTAAAAATTTTCAATTAAAATAAAAATTCAACAAAAAGAAACAATAAATGAATCGCCCGGTTAGTTCAGTTGGATAGAACGCCACATCAATTGAATTTCACAACCTGAAATAATCGTGGAAACGCGGGTTCAATTCCTGCACTGGGCTTTTGTTTTAATTTTCATAAATCCAATTTTTACGAATAAATATTTTTTTTGTGATTTGTTCAATTAATAAAAATGTTTCAAACTCGCGAAAAATTTCTTATAGTAAATTATATTAGTAATAAATTTTTAAAGTGATAAAAAAAAAATAATAATATCAAAAGTATTATAATAAAAACTAAAAAATATATTCGTAAGATATATATTTACAATATCCATGATGAGAATTTTATATTCGTTAAATGTCAAAAATTCATAAATTTTGCCTTTCTTTTTCCGATAATTAATTTCTTTTACGTTCAATTTTTTTAAACTAACATATTTTACGGACAAATAATAATGACTAGTATTTCTCGTTTATTAAGCAAATTTATATATATACATATATTTTTACATAAAATAAAAAAAACATAATATGATTACCTATTATTGGATAACTTAATGATAAACATTTTTTGACGATGTAATGAAGATTACTAAAATTACTATAAGATGCAGATCAGGGGCCTAATAACGAATTAGATTTTATTTTGGGAATAATTTACAATTAATTAGTAATTAATTGGTAATTATGATAATTAATTATTTACACACATACTCTCCCGAATTTTTTTATAAAAAAAAAGATAAAAATGCCAGCTCGATTTCTTTCGAGATTAAGCCAAAATTATATTGAATTATTGGAAGATGATGAATATTATGATATTACAATTGAAGTTGGTGAAGATCCTAATGTAGAAATATTTCGTGCACATATGAATATTTTATGTTACCGTTCTCCATATTTACGACGAGTTTTATCTTCAAAAAATAAAAAGAATAATAATAATGATGGTTTAGCTCATATCAAGTTGCCAAATATGTCACCGGAAATATTTCAAATTATTTTAAAGTAAGTTTATATACTATAAATATAATGTTATTACTAGTATTCTAATATTCAAAATTTTTTGACTTTAAAATTTTTTTAGATATATTTATGGAGGTATCCTCTCATTGAATGAGCAAGATACTTCAGAAATTCTTAAACTCTTATTGGTTGTTGATGAATTACTTCTTCCAGAATTAGTTAGTTATTTACAAAAATATTTAATTAAAAATAAATCTGAATGGATGAAACAACATTTTGAACTTATTTATCAAACAAGCTTTCAATCTGATTCTTTATTAGAATTTCAACAATTTTGTACAGATTTTATGGTAAAATCTCCAGAGAAAATATTTGAATCACTTGATTTCATCTCACTTTCTGAAAAGTCTTTAGTTCAACTTATCAAAAGAGATGATTTACAAATGAAAGAAATTGAAGTTTGGGAACATGTATTAAAATGGGGACTTGCACAAAATCCTACACTTCTTTCGGATCCTAAATCTTGGTCAGATGATGATTTTAAAACAATGGAAAGTACTCTACAACATTGTTTACCTTTAATCAGATTTTTTAGTTTATCATCTAAAGAATTTTTACAAAATGTTCATCCTTATAAAAAACTTTTAAACCATAAACTTTATGAAGATTTATTAAATTCTCATTTGAATCCTGATAGCGAACCAACCGACAATATTTCACTTCCTAGAAATATTAAAATTAATAGAATTATTGATTCAAAAATAGTTAATTTACCTATTGCTTCAACTATTTCAAAATGGATTGATAAAACAGTTATTATTATTAATAGAAAATTTGTTCATATCAGAGAATTATATTTACCATACAAATTTAAATTATTGTTAAGAGGAAGCCGAGATGGTTTTACTCCTAAAAAGTTTCATGAATTATGTGATAATAAACATCGTACTATTACATTTATAAAAATTAAAGAAACAGAAGAAATTATTGGTGGATATAATCCTTTAAAATGGGAAACTTCCGGCAACTGGAATAAAACTAAAGATAGCTTTATTTTTTCTTTTAAAAATAATAATATTGAAGATGCAATTATTAGTAATGTAAAAATTACAGATCGTGCAATATTACATCACCCTTCTTATGGTCCACGTTTTGGCGATGATATTATTATATATTCCTCTAATAAACTTACAGATTACAATAATAATTACTGTAAAAAGGTTTATTATGAAAAAATGATAAGAGATACCGAAGACATATTTTCTATAGAAGATTATGAAGTGTTTCAAATAGTAAAGAGATAATATAGTATTGTACATCAGACAAATAAATAATTGTATTAGAAACAAAAAAATCTTATTGTATCTTTTTATATATATATATATTATGTAACACAAATAATAAATTTCCATTTTAGTAATAACTCATTAAATATCTGTATTATATTAGTCCGTTTAATCATAGTGTATTTTTATAAAATAATAAATAATTTTAAAAAACTGTAAATTTTTATGAAATGTTGACCTTTAGGGAACATAAAATTCTTATTTCAAGGATATTGTGAATATATATTATGCGATTAATATATTTTACATTATGATTTTTTCATTTTTTTTGGGATTTGTGATTTACTATCATAAAAATAAACATTTTACAATCATTATTATAAAAAAATATATATTATTTATAAGTTCATTAAATTTACAATGACCAAAATTACCAAATTCTAGAATTTTCACAAGTCATATCTTTTTAAGTTTATATACACCTGCAAGTAATTTTAAGTTTTAATTTGTTTAAATTATAAATGTGGCAAATTTATAATAATATATAAAATGAATTAATAAACATTTTTACCGTTAATTTGCTTTTAAAATTGTATCAATTTTACCATCTAGTGACGATTTAGTGTCTTAGAAATAGAATTAATTTATTTAAAGTTTTCAAATAATTTGATACTATTATTATCTTTAAATTAGCTGGACATGCAATCTTAATGTTTTAGTTTAATTCCTTAGATTGTTAATATATTATTTTTGTAATAGAATTTATTATAATAACTAGAGGGTCTGTGACCTCGTCACCGTTAATCTTTTCGCTTTAATCAGCAAAAAATCAATGATATCATTATAGTAGACATTGAGAATGAATCAAATAAAAATGTTTAATATTTTTAAAGAGGCGCAAATACATATAATGACTACTGTATACAGTGGCTGTACGCTTGTTGGCAATTTCCGTTTCATTACTTCATAGATTTACTTTTGATCCGGGTAGGTTGATTATAAAAATTATATTTGCTCCAGGTTTCAATATAAATTGCCAGGCTCCAAAAAGATTAATCAATTTAAAAACACAGTTAATATGATACACAGTATATGAGTAAAGTTATTGCATATGATACTGTATATGTGAATAAATAAAAAAATCACGTAATAATCATTATTAATTTGCATAAATTCCCAAATATAGAAGTTTGCATGTTGCAACTCATCATGCTTAATTTATTATTGTATGATTATTGATTTTGACTCATTTTATATTCTTATTATTTTAAATATATAAATACCACCTTTTTTTCAATATTTCGTATTGATTTTCTAACAGGTATCTTTAATTATATTATTACCCAATTTATTTTCTCTCTATAATTCTTTTTAAAAATTTAAAACTTATCCCATCTCCCCCTCTACACTCTTTAAACTCCCTCTTATCTTCCTTATACTGTATGTGAGAACGTTCTTGTATCAGGCAAGGAAAGCCGGTCAGATAGTCGAGTATCTCCTAACTGGCTGGTTGGTTTTTTTTTCTCCTTTAAACTCCCTCTTAACTTCCTTATACTGTATATGATATNTTCCTCGTATCAGGCAAGGAAAGCCGGTCAGATAGTTGAGTATCTCCTAACTGGCTGGTTGGTTTAGATTAGAATTTCCTCCTCACTTATTTCACTTAATTTCAAAAAGTTCAGTAACTCTAAAGATACCATCTGTTAGCAAAAAGTCTATTATTAGTTGAGACCTAAACCCTGAAATCTGCTTTTCCTAAAAAGAAGATAATTAAGATATTATTGGACAAAATCCCGACAGGGCAAAATCCTGACGCCTAACGCCATTTAACAAACAAACTGATAAAGAAACAATTTTATTAACAGAAAATGGGAAACAAAATATACAAAGCAGAAAGAAAGAAGATGCAGTGATCATATTAGACCTTTTGAACAGTAAAGACAAGAATTTAGGGATATACAACCTATAAGAAGGCAACAACTAAAATTAGATAAATGGGTGAATAAAGAATCGATGAAGACTAAAGAGATCATTGAAAATGAAAATTTCAATGTGAAGGAATTGGAAGCTAAAAACAGATGTACAAGAAAAAATGGAAAGAACAAGAATAATTTGAGAGAAAAGTATATAAATGAAGAAAATTATACGATAGAAAGTAAGAAGGTGCTGACTATTAGAGATTACTTATGAAGTGTGGAAAAAGTGAGAATTATTGAGAAATAACGAATGCAATAATTGAATAAAAAAATATCCAGAAAACTGGAGAAGAGGAACAATATACCCAATAAATAAAATGTGAAATTAACAAGTTATTATATTAATTGAAACATGTGAAAAAAAGGTTGATAAATTAGATGATGTAAATAATTAGAAAGGATCATGAAGGAATACAAGAGGAAGAAATTAGAAAATGAAAAAAATATAACAAAATTATATGAATGGAGAGTATTAAACAATGTTGGAGATTACTAATAGATCGGATAAAATAATAAACAATTGATAACAATTAGTAAAATTAATTTAGATTTGTTAAGATAGAATAGATTAGACATTTTTAAATTTAAATTTAATTTTTAAAATAATCAAATGAACAATTAATAATTGCAAAAAAACATTTATTTACTGTATTTAATAAAAAAAAGAAAGAAAATCAATAAAATAAACCTTTTTTTATATAATTATTTTTTTATTTTATTATGATAAATGAAATTAATATAATAATCAAAAATATTATTTCGCGAATCATTTTGGCTGGATAATTTAATGAATAATACTCCAAATTAAAAATTTGACAGTGTAATTGTTTATACTTAATAATACTAAATATGGAGATTTTCAACCATATTAATAAATAATAATTAATAGATC